TGCGAGTTTGACGGTGGGTGGGCTTTGTTTTACTGTGTGTGTTTTAGGTGCCAGCGAAGATGAGAGCTGTCACTTCATTCAATCTCCTGGGGAGATTGTCATTGTTAAATGTTATAACCAGCAAGTGCTTTTGTAATTTTTTTTACCATTAGCAATCTTAGTCCGACTCAGCTAATAACTAAAAGAATGGCATTCTATATATATTCAGGACAGTGCTCTTTTTTTTAAGTCTAATATGAAGGCTGCTGCCTTTAGTAGTTATTGGCTTATTGTGATAGGCTGAAATTGTCTTCTGGGTTGAGATGCCTTTTTGGGAAGCTTTGGTTTTATTATACTTATGTATATACTGTACATACTTCCAACCTTTCTGAGATGAGCAAGAGAGTCACCTTTCAGAACAAAGTATGTAGACAAAGGACAATCCCTTGCCAACCCCACTTAACCTCTTGCCATCCGCCCGTAGTAAAAAAAACGGACGGTATTTCCCGCTCGCGCCCGCCGAGCGGCGCGCGCGGGGGGGCGTGTCTGAGCGGACGTCTAAAGACGCCCGCTCAGATCTAGAGAGCTCGGGCCGGCCGTTTTTTTACTACGGCCGGCCCGGAGGTGGTTAACACCGCGGATGTCAACTGGTTAAAGAAGCAAAATATAATTGGCTACAATGGGGAAAAACATGGGCCTCTGTCAAGTCTTTCTTTTTGGTTCAAAATTTGTTTTATTGAATTTTCATTAGAAAGACAGTTTAGCAATATATATTCAAACATACGAACAAAGCTAGCACGCAGGCCAAGAATAGTTAAGTACAAGATATAATAACATTGAGACAGCAAGGTCAGATCCAAGAGAGCTATAATGAAAATTCTAGTGAATAGGAACAACAATCTTTAAGGCTTTGGTGGCTCTCTGTCCAATTTTTATTTTTATCTCTATCCCTAACTGTGTGAAATGGGGCAAGAGTTAGAATTTCTGAATAAAGTTTCTTTATTGTTGTCCATGCCTTCATGCCTTGGTTACAACTGCTACCTTTCATTTCTTTTACAAGCATCACAGGTACAGGAATAAGGAAAAATCTCTCCACTGGAGACACAGAAAGAAAGAAAAACAAGAACAACATTTTATAATTTTCCCACTCTATCCAAAACTAACAAAAAGAGAAAATAATCTTGCTTGAGAAAGACTTTAGAGACCTAATGTCCAAAATGTACTTTAGGTCTAATGATCCTCTCACTGCTGCCATTAAAAAATACCAGTATGCCTCCCAAATACTTACCTGCATTTTGGAAACCCCAAAGTCTGACCGGGATCTCCTTCACTCTTACTTCTGCGGCATGGTTTATTGCGAGGCACCAATTGGCTTCCTCTGCATAAGTAGACAATCACTGCCTCTAACTCACATAGAACACATCATCAGCCATCCCTAGGAGCAATAAGTAGCGGTGAGAGAATGGCTGGTTTCTGGGTGACCTCTCTCCTGGGGAGAGACAAATATTTGGGGATTAGACTGCCTTTCTGTTAAAAGCAGCAGCAAGGGAGACTGGCAAACCGCAAGTCATTTCTTGATTTGAAGGTCCGTAAATTATTGGAATGTAGTCTGCAGGGAGATTCAGGACCTGGATGTGCTGTCTTTTAGGGGTGACTGGTTCATAGAACATTGCTGATCAGAATTACAAATCCTTTGAAAAACTTTTGAAATGGGTTTATGCTGTTTGCCTGGAGTTCACAAACATCTAAATACTGAATTAAGCAATTCCACTTTGAATAAAGCTCCATACACCTATATGCTTGATTCTGCCAAGTATGGTGATTGTTATGCCACTGGTCTCCCCATAGAATCAAAAGCCCTGTAGAAAATTACTATTAGTTCAGATACTTTTACCATAAAAGAGGGTTGTCGTTTGTTGGGACAGTAGACGTTCAAATTGGAACCAGCACACAATAATCTTCCAAAGAAATTCAAACTTTATTCCACATGCATCTGTACAAATCACAACTGCTTACGCATTTTTGCCTTACTCGGCCTTAGTCATAGCTATGTGCTATGACTAAGAGCGAGTAAGGCAGAAACGCATCAGCGGTTGTGCTTTGTACAGATGCATGTGGAATAAAGTTTGAATTTCTTTCGAAGATTACGTGTGCTGGTTCCACAGTTTTTGAGCCTATTACTCCGTAAGAGAGTCATCCGTGCACCGAATGTGGATTGCAGGGACGCATGATAGGGGTGAGCTGTGCGCCTTGTGTTTTCAGTCTATGTTCAAATTGGGCTTTGCGTGAGAATAGGATTGATACACCTTTGTCCTTTGAAGAGAGCTAGTAGCACGAAACACTGTTGGATACCTGTAGTTAGTCAGTTTCTCGATTGCGTCTTGTTTGAAGTGAGTTTCCTGAATGAAAACCATGTGCGTCATACAAATGTGATCTTGATGCAATATCTTCTCAGACACAATTGGATAGATATCTCAGACTCTGCACAATTTTTTTATGGGGGGTTTTTGAATTAATTCTATTAGTGTTTTTTCCTGCTCGGTGTTTGTACTTTTGTAATTTCTAGTGTTGATATATTAAAGATGGCATATATTATCTAGCACTTTTGTATAAGCTCATTTATGCTTTAATATGAGTTTGGGCTTTGGCCATACCATAAACACATGGAGGTCTTTATTGCCTTTTTTTTTTAGATCTGGTAGAGGTAGACACAGTTGATCGCAGAAGGAAGAGATCTCCTCTGGTGTTTGGAGGAGTGTGGTGCGGCCTGATCTCGAAGCTGATAGGCCGAATGGGAACCTCCAATGGCAGGGGATATTCAGATGGAATAGTTTGACCAGGAAAGGCCTCAAGGCCCTGAGATTCTGAAGGGTGATGGTTGAGAGGTCCTGGAGAATCTTCACCACAGTGTCGTAGATGAAAGACACCCCTTGTTGAGATTTGTGCAGGATGTCCTCTTTCAGCCTGAAACTGGTGAAATAGCAAACCATGTCTCTTGGTGGGTCTGTGTATGGGCCTCGTGGTCGGAGGGCTCTATGAACCCACTTGAGTTCGATGGGCACTTTAAGTGGTCTCTCTAGGAGTCTGTTTAAGATTGCCTGTAGAGTGAGATGTAGGTTGTCCTGCTTCACTGCTTTGGGCAACCCCTTGAATCCTGAGGTGAATCCTATGGCCTTAATTATCTAGGTCTTCCATGTGACCCAGATGTGTTTAGCCGTCTGTAGTAGTTTATCTCGGTGGGCTCCACTCCACCACCGAGAGGCGGGTGGCCATGGCTTTCATGTACACTCGCAAATCCGAGACCACATCAGAAAAATTGGTCTTGATTTTAGCCACAACTGATTGAGGAAATCGGCTGATATACTGTAGACAGGTACCTGGTCAAGCACATGCGTGTGGGGACATTCAGGTTTCGAGGCCTCGCAGTTGGACTGAGGGGAGCTCCCCGCGTGATCCCTGGGCTGGAAACAGAACATAGCCAGGATTAACGTATGAACCTGCGAGCTAGAAGCCCAGGTAGCAAGCATCTGTCATCCAATTTTTCCCATCTGGGCATGAGAAATAAGCAAAATCTCCCCATGTGTTCTGGAGCTAGTTCCACATGCAGCCATCTTCCCTGCGTGCCAAGCCACACCCCCATAAAATTGTTTTGATTTTTCCTTCAAAAAGTCATATAAGGGGCTCCAGTTAATAGGGTAAGCACTAGCAGAAAATAATGGGCCCCATTCCACGAGCGCAGTTTAACCTACTGATGGAGGTCAGGAATATCCAATGAGTGGGTTTCTTGACAGCTCCCAAAACTCATTTGGTAAACCTATCTATGCAAGGTTTAACGAAGATTAACATACTTACAAGCTGGAACTACAAGGTGCCTGCACTAAACACTTTTTAGGGCAGGCTATGTTTGTATTTAAATTGTTCATTTGTTTTAACACTTTCAGTAGTAAAATAAAACTGGGGTAAACCCCTTTGTACCCTGGTGAAGATTTCAATAACAAAGTATGACCACATTTAAGACAATCAATATTTTAGTTTAATAACCATAAGTGAATTCATTAAACAAAAACAACTATAGTTGACTCATGTAAGAATGTAATTCGATCTTAAAATAATGATGATTACTTTTATACTGAACGCCAGGCAGATAAAAAAAATGAATAGCCCATTAAAAGATAACATATATTGTTACAATATTCAGCGTTAGTCTAGAGATTTCACCAACAGTATTTTATTCTGCCACTAGATGCCCTATGTCTGATGCCCAGAATCATTCAATCCACTTCCATTGAGACCAGGGCATCCTGGAGCTGCCCCGTCCTGTTACTGGTCAGTAAAAGGAGAAAATGCAGAGCAATGAGCTCATCTATCATACAGCTTTCTCCTCCAAACAACATGTGTGAATGGCTTCTTTCACTGTTTCTTCCTCTCACTTTGCTATACAGGGACTGCAAGAGACTGATACCAATTCAAATCCAGGTACTTGGACTGCTTGCAATAAAAAATACTCTTAATGATGAATTAGTGATTAAAAAACTGTCTTTTACATGTGCCTAGAGTTGAGCCTTACATTTTAGCTTGAAATCCCAGAAAGATAAAAACTGACTCCTTTCATTCATAATTCATGTAGCACTAGCTGCAAAAAAAGGGGCATTTAAACATTCCAAATCTTACTTACTCTACTTTAAAGCAGACCTTCCATGGCAAGTGATCCCCTTTATTGCCACCCATCTGCCCTCTTACACAAATGGCTTTAAATAAACATTTGTAAAAAATGTTTGGTAAAAAAATATTTACCTTGGCCCCGACCTCCGGCACTTTTGAGAGGTATGGGTAATGTCTCTGTGCATCCCGTCAGAGATCGATGCTTGAGAATTCAGCTCCCATCTATGCCAGGGCCAGGGTCAAGGAACAAATGGCTTTTTAAAGCCAGATCGCGAAAGTGTCATGGCCCAAAAGGTGCATTTCTGAAACAGTAAAATACCTATATAATTAAAATGATATAAAAGTATCAGTTGGCTTACTTGTGCTCTTTCTCTTCCATTTCTTGTTTAGTTACAGATGCCCTGCGCAGGGATTCTTGAAGCTCTGAATTCTGGGTCTGTAACTCTTGCAGTTGGAGTGCCAGCTCTTGGTTTTGCTGCTGGGTGATGCTGAGGAGCTCCTCTCGATTCTGCAGAGCTTCATCATAAAGATTCATTGCACGATTGAACTGCTCCTTTAGATTTATTTCTTGAGAAAGGGACTGGTGCAAACTGGAGAAACACAGTTTATATGAGTAATAGCTCAAGATATTTAGTGCGTTTTAAATAAAAATTTGAGATTCCAAATCAAAATGGATAAACTTGTAAAACCTACTGAACACAACTTAGTGCTTTGTAAACATTTAATATATTTATATACATAGGACAGTTTGAAGATGAACAGCTAATATATAAACAGCCATGTGAAAAATTAAATGTCCCCATTTTGAAGGCTTATATGCAAGTTAATGGCCATAAAAAGTGTATGGGGATTTGGGTACTGCCCTGGGGGACATGTATCAATGAAAAAAAAAACACTTATATCAATACCGTTTTTAAAGGAGCAGTGATCTTAACATCACTTAAAGTGAAACAATAAAAATGAAAAATTCCTTTAAATATCGTGCCCGGGGGGTCCCCTTAAACTGCCTGTAAAGTGGCACATCTATATAATGTATAGAACCTGCTGCAGCAAAAATTACATTCATGAAAAAAAAAAAAGAAAAGCAACAATACCAGACTCTTAAGGAATTTTAGGCGGGACCCCACGTAAAAAAAAAAAATTAAGGAAAAAAATGTGTGGGGTTCCCCCTCAAAGTCATACCAGGCCCTTATGGAACCGCACCCTCAAAAATGGGGGGAAAAAACGTGGGGTCAACCCTAAAATTCTATACCAGACCCTTGGTCCAAGCACAGGCCTAGCAGGGCAGGAAAGGGGGGGGGGGCGAACGAGTGCCCCCCCTCTCCCATACCAGGCCACATGCCCTAGGCACTGGGAGGGTGCTTTTCCAGTATCACCCCTGGAAAAGCGCCTTGTCCCCGTGCCGAAGGGACAAGGGCCTCTTCCCCACAAGCCCTGGGGCGTTGGTTGGGGGGGTGCAGGCAGGGGGGCTTATTCACATCAGGGCACCCCTTTAAGGGGCACCCAGATGCGCGCCCCCCTTGTGAATAAGGGGTAAAAAAACACAAAGGATTTTGTTACAAGTCCTTTATTGAGAACCCCCCCCAAAAAAATGGATCCACCGATGTAATCCAGGGTCAATCACGTTGTCCACGACGACGGCAACTTGACAAAATAAAAAATAAAACAAGAAAAAATAGAAATAATCATTCTAAAAAAACGAAGCCCGCCGACCCGTCCACTGGCGACGAACTCCCACCGCAGAATGGCATTTTGACAGATGCCGGCGGAATATAAACAATTGGGCAGAGCTCGCAGTGATAGCTAGCTCCGACCAACTGTTTACAGTTGTACGGCATCTGACAGGTGAGCCATGATTGGTCATTCGTGGCTTTTATAGAGTACCGTGCCCTGATTGTGTGCACAGTGCCTTGTGGGGCGCTTGGCAGGCGAACAGCACGCCAAACACATGAACTCATGCTCGACTCTGTGACCTACATCCCCGATATCCCGCCTCTTTGTGACTCCTACCAACTCCGCAAACACAGGAGCTCATGTGCCCTGGTCCCTAGACCGTGACACTCGAACATCAAGGCCATCACTAATCCTCAGATATCTAGGGTCTGGTATTCTCTTGGCTATTGATGTGTGTGGTGTCATCAGGCTAACATCAAAAGAGCTCTCTAAGATCCTTAGAGAGAAGGTTGTGGATGTCCGATTCCTTCAAGGGATTTAAAAAGATTACCAAATTATTTTAAATCAATCATTTAACTAAGAAAAATAGCCTACAACTGATGTAGATTTCAATCAACTGCTAATCTGTCCAGGACTGGACAGCCCAGAAAATACCACACCATTTGATGCTAAAAGAAGTCTTCATGAACACCAACATTTCACTGTGGGATCTGCAGGTAACTTTAGCAACAGTTGGTAATACAGGGTTATGGACTGCCCTAGTCAAAGTCATTTAAAGCTTAATAAAATGATGTTGGGGGATTTGAAACAGGCAGTTCATGGAAGGAAACCCAGCATCTTGCAACTGAAGACATTTTGCATAGAGAGGTGGTCAAAAATGTTAATGTCAATTTCCGAGACTGGTGAGCAGTAACACAAAATGCCTTTAATAAGCAATTTCTGTTTAAAAGGGAAATACCAGCTTCTGAGGCCAAGGGTGTACTCACTTTATCCACATAACCCAGTTACACTCATTGATATTTTCTTGTATAATTAAAAAGGCAAATGTTCTTTATGTTTTTATTCAAGTATATCATCTTTATATGTAAGCCTTGTTTGGATGAAGATCTGTGTTTTCTGTTCAAATATGTAGAAAAAAGGCAACACTTTAAGAATTTACCTATATAATATAAATATGCAATGCACTTAAAAACACAAAATTCTAATCCCAATTTAGCTAATCCTCACAAATTATTGTGCATCATTTGCATAGAATCACATTAGAGCTTGTTGATTATTTGTAAAAGCACATAAATAAATGATACTGCGCACAGAGAATTACAAATACAGGCAATAGGACAGTGAATATGGGATATCAGCAGCTAGAAATACAGAGGGATTTAAAAAAAAATTACATTACCAAATACAACTACAATTTCAGAAGATTTGAGAGACATCGGGATCTTTTTTTCAGATATGAATGACCCCTGCAGATGACCTATGGGGAAGAAGTCCCCAAATTTGTTAAATGTTACCTTGTTCTCAATAACAAGATAAGTGTGGCTGTATCCCTCTCCACAACAATGGGGTAGATGCATGCACAAAATGTTTCATAGCATATGCATGGTTTCTGCCAAGGCAAAAGTCCAAGAATTATTATTTTGAGCACAGGTACATTTTGAAGCTGTCTGCACGTTCATGCTATCTTTGGCCACACTTGGAAGCAAATATGGGGAACTATGGCTTAGACTAGCCAAAACTGGTATTCCAGACTCCTGCTTATATTTCTCAAGGACTCCAGAGGTCAGGTATAGGTAAAAACAAAAATAAATTAAGCTCTGAGTATGAAATGAGGGAGGTGGGAGCTGGGAACCCAGGTGCACAAATCCTGCCATCTGAATCCACATCCAATGGACAGATATAATTAACTGTTGGGCAAGCCAACCCGATGCTAATATATTAGTTATTTGGTTTTCAAATGAAAACTAAAAAAAAAAAATACATGTAGTGAAAAAATGATGTCAAATTATATAGCTACTGAACATTCTGTCTGACATAACGCTTCACAGGTTGATGTACGATAAAAATTGTTAGCAAGGACATGAGGCAATACGGGACACAGATAATGTGTGTTTCTTTGGCTTTCACAACCCTCAATTAATATTGCACAGATAGAAGCTAGGGCACTGCAGTCCACTATCTAAGTCTACAGGGTTAATAATAAACAGGGAGGATATTGTCATTCCAGACTCCTGGCTCCTTTCAGTGGGTCACTTTTTCCCCACATTCAGATAGCAGTAGCATGCAAAGTACAATTACTTTGTGTGTCTCAGAGAAGGATATGTTACCAAGCGTTCTGGGTGACTCATTGGATGTACATGCAACTTTTATGGCAAGGAAAGTCTGGTGATAAAATACAATGCATTATTCATGACTACAATGAATACCTTCCTGCAAAGGAATTTATAACCAATGACACAGACATGGCTTCCAGGACTATGCACTAAAGCTACTATGCATAAAATGCCAAAAGGTTTGGTCGGTCTCTATTAGCAAAGCATCTGCAGGAAGAACTGTGTTGTCTGAGACATCAGTCATTCAGTGCACTTTAAGCAGTTTTCTCATTACTGCCTTTAGCATCATATAATCATTATCTCTAGGATGCACCGATACCGTTTTTTTGGTATTGAGTATAAGTACCGATATTTTGCTTTCGGTACTCGTCGATACCAATCGGCTTGATTACGATTGACCGGGAAACCGGCTTCCCAGCCAATCAGCATTGAGCCAGCTTCCTGGCCAATCAGGAAGCCAGGCGGTGATTAATGACTCGCCTCCCAGCTTCCTGATTTGCCAGGAAGTGAGGGCTTCCTGGCCAATCAGCATGGAGCCGGCTTTCCTGCCAATCAGGAAGCCGGGTCATTACTCGCTGCCCAACTTCCTGATCGCACGGGAAGCTGGCTCCATGTTGCCCCACTGACCGGAAGTTCTGGTATTGGGGAAGGTATCGGAGCATTTGGGCAAGTACAAGTACTCGCCTAAATACTTTGTATCAACACCGATACCGATACTAGTATCGGTACATCCTTAGTTATCTTTGTTCACCTCTGCTTTATCAACTCACATATCCTAAAAACCAGCTAAGAAGATCTAAACCACTGACTTGTTGCTTGAGCAGGTGTCGGTTGGTTTGTTTGTTCCCATTCCATACACACAATAACTGCATGCAGCAATATTTGGTCATATACAGCCACCCTAAATTAAACTTGATCTGGACAAAACAGTTCCTGCTGAACCACATGCACCTTGTAATATCTGCAATTAGCTGTGTTAGTCTTTGAAGAAGACCCTATCCCTGTGTTCCTGTGGAGCCCCTTTGATCCTAGGTCCAGGTTATAAATGGGTCCATGAATTCTGGCTGGGTCATGATATAGCCTCGCCCTCCTATCATTCAACCTGGCAGTGAACAGTGGAGGCTCTGACATTTTTATGATTGATGGTGGGGATTAGCATCTAAAGAAGACAGGGCTTAATCTTGAGAAAAAATGAACCCCTTGGATAGCCTTGGCCTATCGTCCAAGAGGGCTCGCCAAGGACACAGTTATCAATTTAAAGACTAGCAAAAGTAGCACTGGCGTAACTACTACCATAGCGACCCACGCGGTCGCTATGGGGCCCGAGGCCAGAGGGGGGCCCTGTCCAGGGCCGGATTAACATATGTACATGTGGAGCTCTGCTCCAGCGTTGCCCCTGCAAATATGCACGGCCGGGAGTTCAGAGGAGAGATCGGGGACATGGTCTCTGCTGTCTATTATGAGGACCAGGGAGAGGAGGGGGGCAGGGCCTCGGGTGACTTCCAGGTGGTGCGCTGGGAATGGCACATGGTGCAGACCTCGTACCTAATGGCAGTGTGGGTCCTGGTGGCCAGCCTGGCCAA